GCATATTTTGTAAGCGTCTAAAAATATTTCTTTATTACATTCGTAAGATTACTGACAATGTTTTTTTGGTATTATTACAACCTATTTTGATTAATCAAATCATTATTTGAAATTTTTTTCTTAACTTTTATCGATATAGATGTTTTATTGGAAACGATCTATTTATAATGCGATATTTACGCTCAAAATGCAGAATTGCAGAAGGGAGGTTGAACCATCGTGTAAACGGTAACACATAGAATCATGCGCACAGAGTTATATGTCTGCAGAGACGACAAATAATCATTATTTGCACGTCAACTGTATAACGCGAATTTATTGAGAAATTAAATTTAAATTATTTATTATTTATTTATCATCCGAGCCAGTTAAATTGTAATTATGTGGTAATTGAATCAATCAGTTACCATTAACTTCTATTTTATAATAAAATATGTTATTAACTAATAATTATTACCGCATCACAAATAAAGTATATAAATTTATCTCCAAACAGAATTTATCCTCGAAGGCCAATCGCGCTGTACTACAGTTAACATTGAAATACATCTAAGACTTTTAGTATTCTTAAAATTCAAAATCCTAAAATTTATATTTCCTTTAAAATGCGTATTGTTTAAATATTACACTCTTATATCCTTTAATATCATTGAATCATTTAAAATAAAATATTAAATATCTTGCTATTAAATAATCCAAAAAAAAAAATGATAGTTTTAGTAAACGATCTGTTATTTTACAATATTTCAGATACATGTATCTCTACTATGCGTATACGCGTACTGTTTTCAGTCACGCGCAATATCATTGATCGCTATTATAAGCGACAAACGCGCAAGTCTTGCAGATTTATTTAAACATATGTCCACGTTAATTTGTAACATCCAGTAAAATCGAAATTATCTATGAAAGCAACTATAGTATTTTTTTATATTAGTACAACGTACATGACATCACATAGCAGATAAATACAGGAAGGAAATCCAGAATCCACTCTCCCTCAATTTTTGGCCGTCGATAGGCCATCGCGACAGGCCATTAATTCTGCAAAGAACATTTTCGTCGTGCAGTCATCGACGATGACCGACGTCCAAGGGACATTAAATATACTGGACACATCTGGACACAAAACCTGCGATATTTGCACGTGGCCATTTATAACCGACTAGTCCTGCCGCGGCTACTTAGCAGATATTTTACAGTGAAAAGGTACCCTGCGGGGGAACGAGTTCAAAAGTTCACGTGAAAAACAGCGTCAGGAAATTGCTAGGAAATGGCCGGGAGCGGATGGTCACCCTTTCGACGGTGGATCGTCCCTGTGCCTTCGGTCCTTATAATAACCTAAACAGCTGGAAGAAAGACCTTTAAAAGGCCAGCATGCGTCAGACTTAAAAAACGGTCGACGCGGTCTCCGCCGACGAGGTGGAGGGTGGCGTTGCAGAGGAAATTAAGACTTTTCCCCGTGCACACTCTTCCGCTTTCGAACGCTTCTGTTATCGCTTATTACTCGAATCTTTGTACGCATTTTCATGTGCAATCCCGTGAATACTTGCGATTATTTGCACAGCTGAAAATAATAGAGACATCAAGTAAACGACGAAGATGTCATATTTATTCTCAAATAATATAGAGTAGTCTTTCCTCTCTTCCCTCTCTCTCTCTCTCTCTCTCTCTCTCTCTCTCTTATGTGTTACTGATATTAACGTATACGCAACGAAATATAACAAAATATGATTATTTATGAAAGAGCTTTGTTAAATACTGCGTTTGACTAAATACAACCGGGAGCGGCAACCAGCCTTTTCCTCCTCTCCGAGCGTTGATTATCGTATGAATAAATTATTAGCGTAATACAATAGAGGATATAATTTATCTCAATGATAGTTCGACCGCATAAAACTACCATTACTGTTTTAACGTTACATTAATACGTTATGTAACATTGAAAGATTTCAAACATATCGGAATTTTATTTCGGTGTAAAACTATTTTTTTTTTAATTTTAAGCTTTTAAAAAATTTTTTCGTTAATTTTATTCGATTTTAATCGTATCAATAAGAAAAGCAAACGATCGATTTGCGTTATCTGATTTTATCGTGTAAACCTCGAAAGGCCGAAATCATCAGTGAGGGTTTCCGCTGCTCTGTTATGTTGCACAGGGAATTCGGGAATACGATTCACCTAAGACAGTAAAACCGAGATTACGCGAGGCGAGATATAGTTCGACCGCAAGTTTATTTTGCCGGTTCTACCGGCGGCTTTACCGTAAGATCAATTTCTTTTATCGCAAATAAAGATTATTACCGCCCGACTTATAATGTCACCTTCGAGCATTCGTCGTTCTTTATTTTCGCGTCCCGTTATGACATGAATAAATTTTCAAAATTGTATGTATTCAAAGTTGAATCACGTTCGCTCGCATTACTGAGCAATATCAGCAATCGCATAGTCAAAGTAAAAAAAAAAAAAATATTTCTTGCGCGGAAATAAAAATGAATCATACGCAATGCAAAGTTTGGTAAAATAAATATTTATCTTGAGATAAATATGAAGAGGAAAATGTCTTATTCTTCCTTTTCTCGACGTTTTCATTTCGTAAGAGAGATTGAAAGGCGTCAAGGGAGAAATAAAACCACGTTGGATTTTCCCGATTGCTATTTTGTCCATTTTTTTAATCCTCCGCTTTACTTCGGTAGAAAACGACGAGAAATCAATTTACAGTAAAACAAACGTCAGCATTGTCGCCGCCTTCGTGGCGCGGAAAGGCAAGGATAACGCGCGGAAACGCGCGCGGTTGGCGGAAATAATACGAGTGTCAGGAAAAAGACTTCGTTGCTTCTCTCATCCACTCTTTTTCACTCCTGCGAACTTTCCGGCGTTCCTTCTCCGGGTGGCGGACCAGCGCATACTTTCTCTACTCCAACTTTTCGCGCCCTCGGACTCGAGAGAACGGCATCCGGCTCCTCTGCTTCTCGCAGTGTCAACCCCTCCTCGCTGCGGAAAGATTCATACGTCGTGGACGTCGTTGCGACAGACCGTGAGAATAAAAAGCGATGTCGTGTCCTCGATTTCACCTTTTTACAGCCGAGAAATCCTCTTACATGGAGGGATAAAGAGTCGCGTAAACCGGGGCGTTCTTCCGTAGAGATTTGTTACGGCCGTGCTCGTCGCTTCGATAATATCGCTTTACGAATTTCCGACTTTAAATGACTTACGTCAACGTGAGCATACTTCACGATAAAAACGATTCAATCCTAGAATTTCTAGTAGTGGGTAAAACATTGCCTACATTCCTTATTTTACGTGAATGAATCTTGAAAGTATTTCGCAGATTTTTTTATCTGTATTGTGTTAAGGTTTTAGAAAAAAAACCGTGTGCTAACTAAAAAATAACATATGTCAATTTACAATTTAAGTGCGACGCACGAGCATCGCTGTTGTATTGTTTGTTGTATAGATACACACGCGTGACGATAAATAAATAGCAAGCGCGAGTGTCTTTATCAGAGACTCAAAAATTGATTAGGTGAAATCTAATTAAATGTTTCCCCTCGTTACAAATTATGACTGATGAAATCTGATTTCTCTATAAGCGTTTGTAAACGCGTATGTATTTTTCGTGACAGGTCACGCAACAACCATAGGAGAAAACGTTCGTGAAAAAATAAAGTGTTCAATAAAAATAACGTGAAGCGATTCGTACTTACGTTTTTATTTAACACTTCATTTGTTATAAAATCTGACCGCGGTCGATTCTTGAAATTTATTACTATTCCATTGTGAAATCGCACAATGCAATGCAACTTCAATGAGAAACACGCAATTGTAATTAGCTCTGAAAATGAAGATAATACTGGTTCGTCTCTACATTCCGTTTTCCTTACGATTTTTTTAACGACAAAGAAGTTTTTTTCTACGCTTACATATAATATATCTTTCCCGATATAAAGGAGCTACCGCTCGGAGTTTATTTCATGGCAATCTCTTGCGTGTTTTACGGCTAACACGTCACGACGTGCGTGGCGAAGCTGAAAAACCAAGCTGTGGGGCAGCAGAGAGCGGACGAAGCATCTCGCAAACGAAGGGAGACTTTATGATACTCTTCTCAACGCCTTCTCTCTGTTTTGTTTTACAGGTCATCGCTTTCTTTATCGTTTGCAGATTTGATTCGTAGAATCCGGAGACACATCGTTCAGATTACAGGCAAATTGTCGTGATTGCGATTTCTTTGACTTAATCTTCGAGAGCATAACTAGAAATGCTTTAAAACTTACTGAATATCGTCGAGAGATTTATTACCACCGCAAACTATTGAATTATAAAATGTTCTAATTAAAGAAGTTGATGTAAGATAAAATAGAATATTTTAACATAATTTTTTTTAAACGTAAGACAATATTGCGACATGGTCATGTTGCATGTCGGAAAGATGTTTTAATTATTTCTTTATTGCAAACGCAATTTACGTAGCAAAGAAATAACTATAAAATATAGGTATAATTAGAAATTACATGATTCGTATGATAATAGATACTTCATCAATCAATAATTGCATATTTCAAGCGATCTATGTAAGATATGCAATTGATTGATATAGTACTGTAGTGTACTATATACTGATTGCACAAGATAACGTTCGCATCGTAATGAGAATTGGGGAATGTCGTAAAACAGCGTCTAGCCATAGTAGAGACGTAGTTTTAGCTAATTCGCGAGAAGACGCGTCTCTCTCTCTCTCTCTCTCTCTCTCTCTCTCTCTATCTTTATCTATCTATCTATCTATCTATCTCTCTTTGCCTTTGTCTCTATCTATCTGTCGAAATCGCCTCCACTTTGCTTCCGGAGCGGTTCCGCGTAGCAGCGGCCACCCGGACGGTCATCGTGGACCCCACTGCGCGTAAATCACGGCACTGCCGCAGATCCAATTATCAAATTGTCCGGCACTTCAGCCTAGAGAGACTTCGCTCCGTTTCGACTATGGTAGTAGAAGCTATGCCGAACGACGTTTACGCCGAAGAACGCGAGTGAGACTACTGGAAGGCCGAGTCCGCTAACTAAGGGAGCGATAGATCCTACAGGGCAAAACCACGAAAGACGGGACGACGACGTTAGCGGCGAAGATTTATCGCTTAAGTGACTCTATCGAAGTGAAACCTCGTGTACGTCGAGAGAGAGAGAGAGAGAGAGAGAGAGAGAGGGGGGGGAGGGGAGAAAATATTTCATTCGTTGTATAGATCTGTTATTTGATAAACAGATGAGAGTTTTTTAGTCAGGTCAACATTCATGTATTTCATTGTATATACTAGATGATAACAAATTAATCGATAGTTTTTAACAAAAAAATGTATTACTTTCTATTTCGATATTACTTCAGAATGATCAAACAAAAGAGCTAACAAAAATTTTGATAGCTTAACTAATTATTTCTGAAGCGTGCGAGACAAATAATAGACAAATTGCTTATTGAGCGTCTTTTATTAAAATTAACTTTTCGCGATTAAATGTCTCCTAACCGTTTTTTACTTACAATTTTATCAAATAATAATTCGTTGTCGCATATAAAAATACACAAAATCAAATAAATATTTATCAAGTAATGTTTATAAATATTTTGTTTTTTGTTGGAAGTTTTAATTTGACAGCTTTAGATTAATAAAAATATTGTCTAGGTTGTATTCGAATTGATGAATTGATGTAATCGCGTAACAATTGCATTGCGTTCAATAAACTCTGTTACATCTTGCAATATGCAACTCTGATAAATTATCAATTTAATGAAAATTCGAGAATAATCCATTGTGTAAGGCTTTTGAAATAATATATTAAAATTATAACTTTTATATCTTTTTACGGGTTGCGGAGAGTTTATTATTAGATTTAATAACTAAAACTCTGATTAATGATTAATGAGCAATTAACAATCAATTCAAGAGAAAATCTATTGCCGTATCGACAAAAAATCCACATTATATTAAGTATAATTCACTTTCATATACTCTATTTTCCTTATATTTTTCTAATATAATATTATTCATCAGAATATATAAATCTTTTTCTGTAATTAATAAAACAGTATTTAAATAATACGCTTTTCTTATTGAAATGAATAATTAATATTGTATTTTCGGCTATTAAACATAGTTGGCATGTTGTTTTTATCTGGGACATTTACGGTAATTTCATAACAAGCTTAATGGTTTCTTAGGGGTTGAACCGTCGCGTGTAACGGAAAGGAGTGGTTAGCTCGGAAGTGTAAGTCGGAAGTGCGTGTAGATGTTGCACTGTGTTAAGGAAAGGGATACAAATGTACATACTCTCTGCACGCAAGACTAATTCAGACATCAGCCTGAAGAGAAACGAAGGTAATTCATTCACTAAGTCTGAAACACGATAATTCTATTATGATCGTTCTATTATAGGAATTGATATAGAAATCATAACGGAAATATGCTGATCTAATAGCATGTATTTCTCGATTCTTGAGAGAGAAATTAAGATGATTTTCAATTAGATAAAAATTAGATAATATCTGATATATTCTTTCATATATATAGTTGAAAAAGGACTGTTCCTAATATATCTCATAATAGCAATTTATCGGTAATACAAGTGGTCAATTTTACAAAGCAGAACTTGTTGAAAAATACTGGGAAAAGATAACGCTGTTATCGTTTCTTTGAAACAGCTTCTGATTCTTGAGTGTGATTCACGTCACTTTAACGACCGCGTGACACATGCGGTTACGCTGCGACAATATACATCGATAATTGCAACTGCTTGAATCTCATCCCGCGATAACCCAGCATTTCCAGCAATTTCGTCGCGAGATGCAGACACTGTCGAATGCATTTCACATGGAAAAATGTAATTTTTGCCGTTCTTACTCTAGGATTTTCCATTTTATCGAATTTCCGTTTAACGTTTCGTCTTCATAACATGAGTTGGAATCTTTTTCCCGATTTTTATTATCTTTGGCTAACTATACATATCTGGCTCTGTAATTGCACAATTATCGTCATAATGAAATGATTCACCACTCATCAGTTAGTCCAGAATCAAGACCGAATTTGATAAACGTTTTAATCGTTTACATTGCATTAAATTACAGATAATGGCGCACTCAATTAAGCGAACTTTGCGCATAGAGAGAAAATATTATATATGATAGCTACGGGGGGTTTGGTTGGAGATTGAGTGACAGTGGGAATTAGGCGTTTACATATTTTTGGCTGTATGCTGCATCGGTTGTTTGTTATTAATGCATGTAATTAATACTATATGTACAAATTATACAAATTACATAATTCATTATAATATCCATGTACTATTGATATCGTTAATTTAGCTAGATGAAAATACTTGAAATTTATGAGGATTCACACGGAAAAGTTAAAATCGCATCTCTCGTAGACAAAATAAAAAAAAATTACTTAATATTATTTTATGTTGCTTAAAAATACTGCAGAAATTACAGTATTAATATACAGATTATTTATTTTTCAGATTTTATTTTAACTTTCTATAGTATTTTGATAGACTGTTGCAAGTATTCGAAAGCTAATAATTATTGGCTTTAAAAATGCGATCTATCTCTAGTTCTGTTTCTCTAAAAAATAATTATATTATAGTTATTAGAATAAATGGATGTGTGAGATAAAATAATAATTATAATGTTTGAACATAGATAGTAGAATTTTGACTCGAATTCTGCACTTGAGTTGAATGCTTATAATTTCTATTAATCCTTTTGTTAATGTATGGATACTCATATAGGATGTTAAATAATACAAATTTTTATATTTTTGTGTGAATTTTATGATGCCTCAAAAGCTCCATCTTTCGAACAACAAAAACCAGTTTTGTACAAACTTTATTTCGTTTTTATTTTTACATTTTTTTTTTTTGCGGGAACATGACGGTGAAAAGGTGAAAATTATGCATTGACAGAAGGATTAATACTTAATAACGGCATCTTTTGGGAAAAAAAACGTGATGACTATTATGATGGACAATTTTCTAAAAATAAGGGTTTTCTTTTATAGGGAGGAAGGACAACTGAATCAATTTGGAGAACGGTTTTGATAGGCCGAATGACACGTGAATGCGTTATACGGCGGGGTGTTCTGAAATATTACACTGGTGCCGCCAATTATCGCCGACAGCGAGCGAAAAACGTAATGGACGATTACAACTAACATCAAATCGTGACACTTTCGGACAATAAAAAGTCGGGAATGTGCAAACTGTGCGCGCCGTGACGGCCGCGGCACGACGACACTGTTGACAAAACGTGATTATATTTTGCTACATCATACGCGAAATCGGGGCCAAATGTCGAAATAATAACTTTGTGCAGATACATTATAGTGAGGAATGCGAAAACGAAATAATGTTATCAAGGGCTGCAAACCGTATTATTAATGCTAGATCAATTTTGAATTTGACAGGCGCGTTAAATGATAATTCTCGCTAGCTATCTCACTGTAAGGATCTTTGAATAATTTGCAATTAGTAACATTACTAACACTGTATCATTATATGATTATAATATAATTAAAAATGTCTAATACAAATTGTACGAGTGTATATATTTATGTATTCTAAATAATTACATTTCATTTTAAACATTTCAAATGACAATTTTGCTAGAGAAAGAATTCGATAATATTTTTTTGAGTTTGATATGTTACTATAAATTTTGAACGAATAAGGGTAGTTATTCATGACATTGCAATTGTTCAACTATGTGTCAACATTTTCGATTTACTTTTGTTATCTTTGCATGTTAAATCTTGATTAATTTGTAATTTACGATGATTTGTTCATGCTTTGCATAGAGATAAATAAGAATATATCTTCCTGTTTTGATGATGAAGCCAGAAATGACTTCGGAGAAATTTTACGCGTGCAAAGGAGGAAGAAAAATTGGTGTCTTACCGAGAAGGGTGATTCATGTTTTGTAGCGCGATTTATTATTAATTCTAGAATTTTAATTAAAATTATAAGGATCGTTATTAGCAAAAGCATTCTAAAAAGAATATTTGTTAACTATGCATAAAACGTATTTCAATGTTATGATTATCAAATTAATAGAATTCAATCTTATATATTTCACAAATGCTGAAATCCATCTCTCGCGGTGATATTTTCATTGCAGTGAATATGTTGTGGCTGGTTGCGATATCGAATAAACGAATAAATAAAGAAGTGATGCGATTGCACCGCGATACTATCGTGGGCCACGAAGAAGAGCTTTTATTATCGTGATATTGTTTTGCGGGGAGTTTATAATTTTTTCAAGTTAAGATTATTCATGAGCACATAAACTTTTACGTAATGTGTTTATGTACCCTTATAATTCTTGCGATATTTGTGCAATATTTGATGAAGCCTGATAAATGATAATAATATCAGTGAACGTAAAGAACATAGACTCGTAAAAATTCTTGATGCATTGCACCATGTATTTAAAGAGATTATTGTTCTAAATATATTTCTATTTGCGCATACTGATTCTGTATATAAGCTGAGTGACTGCCGAAACGATTCACTTTGAATTGAGCTGACTAAAGGTGAGAATACAAAAATTTCTTTTTAAGTTCAAAATTCAATATTTTCTCTCTCAATATTTCTATATATTATAAAATAGGAATCTTTCAAGCAATCAGAATGATTATAGTTTGGTTTGCAATCCTCTCAATGATTTTAATCTATAAAAGATGGAGTATATATAGAGTGAATATTGGTAAGTACTGTTGTATGAATCTTATGTTTAAAACTATAATATGTGCATACTTAAATCTTTCATTAATTTATATATTTATTTCGTTAAAATTATTAAATTAATTAATACTACTTAATAACATTTACTTAATAACATTTTTTTAATAATAAATTTTCTCTGTAATTTATACAAATGATACAAAGTTGATAAGTTCCAGAAGTAATAATTTCTAGAAGTATGTATATAATTAATGTAAGAAATGCAAATGCACTGATATTTAATTTACTTAATTGTTATGTATATTTTATATATTTCCATAGTATATTATGTTATTTTTTTTAATATATTAGATTAATTAAATATATTCTTTATACTTTACGCTTCTTTATTCCGAGTTATTCACAATTAAAAAGAATAAAAAAAGAGTGACAAATATTTTTTTTATATAAAAAATCCTGTTTAGAATATATAAATAATATAGATTGAACTAAAAGTGAGCAAGTGCATTAAGTTAAATAAAAATAATTAAGTTATATAAAAAACATCGTGCAAAATCATAATCTTACGTAATTTTTTTCAGTGCACAAGTAATGATGACTGTTGTGGAGCATTTATATGCAATGCAAGGTCTAGTCGTTGCGCTGGAGGACCGAGAATAAGGGGATCAAGACAACCAGGGGGGCCATGGGGATTCAGAGGTCCAGGAGGCTCGGAAGTAGAATGGCAATGAACTATTATTTATGTTCCATAATCATAAATAATAGTTCGACCTGGACTAGTATAGAACTACAATTTAATTAATTTAAAAATATGCGAGAATTCATACAATAATTGGAAATATATACTTCTTAGTCATTACACAGTAAAATGTTATTTGTGTCTCTATGACTATAAGAATCTTTTTTTATTATTCAATCAAATTGAATTCAATTGAACTATATATAATAATAAAAATAATTTATTTTATAGTAATAATATTATTTCATAAAAATATGATTGTATTCGAATTCTCATGTTAGAAACGAGTATATACTCAGACGTAAATTATAAAATAAATTGCTGTGATTGTTAATCAAAATTAATAAATAAAAAAGTATATAATATTATCAAATTCAAAACGATGTCTTTAATTACTTAAAATTTAGTGTATGATATATATAATCACTATAAATTGCTGCAAGACAAATTTTCTTTTCAGTTTTCGATTTAGTATTATATATGTTACAACTGAATACATGAGTTTGCTTAAATATTTTGCAATAATTCATCTTATTTCAAATAGTTAGCGATATTCCGTTAGAATAAAAAGTATTAAAAAACGATATTATTGGAAATTTATTATTAAAAATTATTATACCTTAGAAATAATATAATAACATTAATTTTTAACAATTTTTTAAAAATTGTATAATAATAGTCAATCATCTTTATATTCTGATTGTTCTACTAAGTAAATGGAAAAGGTTTATTTAGAAATTTTTTTTAGAGAAAGAGAGAGAGAGAGAGAGAGAGAGAGAGAGAGAGAGAGAGAGAGAGAGTATTTTAGTTGATGTATTCTTCTCAATGCATTTGTTTAATAATAAAGTAAAATTATAAATAACGTGACAAAACAATTATTAAATTATTAAATTTATACATTTTTGTTTTATAATTTAATTATTACATTATGTAATATAATCCTATAGAATATATTAAATATCATATAAAAAGATTTTAACGTCAATAAAATTCTCCGATTTGCAAAGTACGAAACTATTGAACTTCTTACAGTTTTAATTCAAATTGTAAAAAAGACAAGAATATAGCATCGTAACAATCTTTCAATATTCAGTTAATAAATATTTCCTTAATTAATAAATATTTTCTACAGCAGATGATAAAAGCAGTACATTTCCGATTTATGCAAGTGTAATATGTAAAGTATAAATATTGTTCGCGAAAAGACACATACATTGCATACCATATGTATAATCAATTACTCTAAAAAAAAAACGGTAAATTCTAACATTATGTAATTTTTTAAAATAAAGGCTGAGAATTCAAATAGAGATACATAGAAACAAATTATACTCAATTTGAAACGATTATATTCTATTCAATATAATCATTGTTTCCTACATAAGTAACAATATAAAATTTTTTTTTAAAGAAAATTTGATAATCTCAAATTTCAATAATATTATATTTTTATACTAAATCATATATTCTTATTAACAATATTATAATCTACTTCTTGATTCGAAAATAGTGTAATTTTCTATCCGATATTATTTCCTTTCAAATAAAGAATTATTATTATTCATTATTATTAAATAATAAAAACATATTTTTCTTGATATAATTAGATTAAATTTCTTCATGTAAGCAAAATATTTCGATTTAGCGTTAAATAATCTTATTTCAAGTCTTGTATGTCAAAAATAACGATATTTTCAAAATAAAAATAGTCTCTTTTAATCAAATTGAAATCCACTTGTAAAACAAAAATAATTTATTTTATATTAATAATATTTATTTTATAAATAAAAATATATTCGGATTCTTTTATGTTAAAAATAAATATATATATTTAATTATAAATTATAAAATAAATAGCGGTTAATAATTAATTGATGTAAATAAAAAATTATAAAATAATATCGATATCTTTTTTTAATTCTTTTTACTTATAATTTAGCGCATAATATGGTCACTGTAATTTGCTGTGATATAAATTTTCTTTTTAGTTTTTTCTAAAGTATGTTGTAACTGAATACATGATGTGTGTTTATAAAATCTTCAGTAATAATCCATTTTATCTCAAATAATGGTAATATTTAGGTAGAATCGAAAGGCGGTATTATTAGAAATTTATTATTAAAAATTATTGTACTTTAAAAATAACTTTTTTTTAATAAGAAATATGTCAAGATACAATAGTTAACATATATTTTGATAGCCTCATATATTCAGAGAAGATATGTTAAATAATTATTTTTAATATAAATATTTTTAATATAATTTATAAATAAAGTAATTATTTAATAACAAAATAAAATAATAATAATCTTATTTTACAAAACAGTTTATCATGACAATCGTATTTTACAATTTTATTATTATATTATGTAATTTAATTGTACATAAGATATCGAACATTATAAAACATTCTAATGTCGTCAACAAAATACTACGATCAGCAAAATATGGAACTGTAATTACACAATATGAACCTTTTATGATTATAACTAATAATTCAAATTAAAAAGATAAGAATATAACTTTGTAATAGTTTGTCCAAACAAATGTTCGTTTTATATACACAGTAAAAAGAACATAACTTTATAATAGTCTGCGAAACAGATGTTTCTACAGCAAGTAAGCAGCATATAGATACATTTCGATATTTTTCCGATATTTTTATTTTTTATTTTGTTGTGCTAAGAGCGGACACAACAGATTCGCGTTCCGTAGGAGACGTCAAAATTGAGTTACACGTTTTTTTAAGAAATATTAGAGCAGTTTATTAATAATAAAATGTCTTTCACTTCACTTTAGTCTTTTGTTATTTAAATATTCCCGACGTGTTACACAGACTTTTGACGGACGGACTGATTTTGGACACTACTGACGTAGTGTCTTTTTGTGAATCCAAACTATGAGCGAACTTTGAATCAGTGTTCCAGTCCGGTTATATTCTGCTCTTTTTTTTATGTGTCCTTACTGGTGAGGCACCTCCCATCAACTTTCTCGGTATTCATCCGAGGTCGCGCGATAATAACACACGTCGATTGAACGTGGTGTTTAATTAAACTTTCGGTTTTATTTTATTATTATGTCATGCGAACACGGCATTCGTTTGACAATTTGTACAAGTGTAATAAAATGCGGCATAAATACTCTCCAAAAACCAAAGATCGAACAATTATTATTACATCGATCTGCAACCAATTTTCAAGAAAAAGTTCCTATATTTATCTAATTTTCCTATATTTATCTAATTTTTTGAAATAAAAGTTGAAAATCCAAATTTATATTAAGCTGTTTATATAAAATCACTTAAATTATATATAAAATAATTATATATAAAAAATATATCCACATGAAGTTATTGTGATAATTTCTATAGAAGTATCATTATTTATTAGGAAAGAGTTGCTAAATACGTATCACAGGCAATCGTCTAATACATCATCTCTCGTCAATATTTTATATTTTTATTTACATTTTTATTTTATATTTCTATTTATATAAGTAACATTTAATGATAAAAATAAACGAAAAATATGAAATAAATAAGAAATAAGTAGTATAAACAAAATTTTAATGTGAGCATGTATATGTGTGTGTGTGTGTGTGTTGTCGTAAAAAGAATTTATAGTAAAATACTTCACATACATTGTATATACATATTTACAACTATTATAAAGAACCATAACAATAAAATCGATATTTTTCTAAAAATCTATTAAATTTCCTAAATGGTATCATTACAAAGTTTATAATAAATTATATTAATGTTAGACTAATAACTGATAGTAGAAAAACTAATAAATGATATATACAAATAAAAATATATCATTGTAAAAATTTAAGTCAATTTTATTTTTATTACGTTTATATATTTTCATTATTGTTATTTATTAGTTATTAAATATTTAATCCTTTTTTGAAATCTTTGTTTCAATTATTGATAAAATTAAGTATTAATAATTAATGATTCCGTCTATTAATTTTATTTGTTTTAATTATTTTAATTCATAAATTCAATACTCGCAAAATGATTTAGGAGATTTATATGTGTTTTAGAAAAATCGGTTATATTCAATTGCCTAAATAATTGTAACATTTTACGAAAATGTTTATAAAATTATAATATTAATTTGTTATTAATAAAAAGTTAAAAATGTAATAATAAGTACTTGAAATATCAAGCTACAATTTTTAACGTTTATTTGTGTAGAAATAGGGAATAATAGAGCTCTCTCTCTCTCTAAACGGGAAATACAATAAACAGTAGCTTAAGTAGTACACATTCGACAATAATCCTCTATTATTGTATCAGTATCAAATTAGTAGATTTAAAAAATAATAATTATGAAAAATATTGACAAGATAAAATACGTTGTTTTCATCATTTTCGTTCTAATTGCTATGGCAATGGTTGAAGAAAAAGTTGAATTATCATGTCTTGGTCTGTATGAGAAAGTAAGTATTTATATTTTAAGATGGAATAGAAGTCATTTTTCATATTGTACAGACAAACGAAAACAACGAAATTAAAATTCTGTGTATAATTCATATAAACTTTATTATATTAAGTTCATAGGAAAATCTTTTAAATCTGTATCATCTGCAATATTAATTAATATTAATTTTTAATGGGGAATATGTCTTTAAATATTACGTTTTAAATATTTTAGTGTTTAAACAGTCTTCAATAGTGTAAAGGTCTGACATGTTTGATGGTGTGCCGGATGATGATCCGCTTGGACTAGATAATAACAGACTTCATGGTCCTGTCCAAGAGGTTATTACTTTAATATTACTTTAATATTCATATTGTTCATTTCTTTATATTTGCACATAACGTTATTTTTTCTTTTATATATATATATCTTCTTTTGTGCATGTGTATATATGCACAAAAGAAGAAAATTATAACTAATTTTAAATAAAGATATTCAAGAGCAACATTTTTCGTTTTAT